ATCCAAAGATCTCTGTCAAGCCCCTGAGGAAGATCTACCAGTTCCACAAAGCTGACGAACAGCAACTGAGAGATGCAGCAGCCGAATTTGCGACGGAATTCCTCCAATCAGATCCAGAAAGAAGATCAGTGGAGACAAACTGGTCCATCATTGTTAACTTCTTGAACAGGTGTTTGTCTGAGCTTATTCCTTCCAAAATGAGCAAAGGAAGGAAACATCTTCCTTGGATTACTCCTCCTTTGAAACGCCAGATGAGGAAGAGAGATAGCCTATTCAAGAAGGCACACAGCCAGTCTTGCTCCACAGCTTGGACAGCCTACCGACAATACAGGAACCAAGTTGCCAAGAATGTGCACAGAGCACGTTGTGAGTACGTCAACAACATCATCGGGGCAAGCCTTAAGGACAACCCAAAGTCTTTCTGGTCTTACATCAAGACATGTCGTTCTGAAAACATTGGTATTCCTACCTTGCGTACTCCATCTAAACTATGCGCCTCAGCATTAGACAAGGCAGAGACACTGAACGACTACTTCCAGTCTGTCTTCACTCCTCACCAGCTCCAACCTCTTGTACAGAAAGGACCTTCTCCTTTTCCAACTATTGGTCACCTGCATGTTCACAGGACTGGTGTCGAGAAACGCCTCCATCAACTGGACCCTTCAAAGGCCAGCGGACCTGATGAACTTCCACCCAAGCTCCTAAAGTTGGTAGCTCGCGAGATTGCTTCTCCACTGTCCTTCCTGTTTCAACAAAGCTACAACAGTGGCATCGTTCCAGCCCAATGGAAACAAGCACTGGTTACCCCTATTCACAAGTCGGGAGAAAAGTGTGACCCCTCCAACTACAGACCGATCTCACTTACCTGCGTTTGCTGCAAAGTCATGGAACACATCATCCTGAGCCATGTGTCGAAGCATGTTGCAGTGAATAATATCCTCACTGATGCACAGCATGGCTTCCGACGAGGGTTGTCGACAACCACTCAATTGACAACAGCCGTCCACGACTGGTCCTCCATCCTACAGCAGCGTAGCCAAGCTGATATAATCTTCTTGGACTTCAAGAAGGCATTTGATCGAGTACCACACCTTCTCCTGTCAACCAAACTTCAGTACTATGGAATAAGTGGTGACTCACTCCAGTGGATAATGTCTCTCCTCACTGATAGACAGCAGGCAGTCGTAGTTGATGGATCCAAATCAACATGGAGGGATGTAACATCTGGAGTCCCCCAGGGATCCGTCATCGGCCCTACCCTCTTCCTGTTGTATATCAACGATATCCAAGACAACATCCAGTCCACAATGCGTCTCTTCGCAGATGACAGCACCCTCTATCGTGAGATTCGATGCCCTGAGGACCATCAAATCCTAAAGGACGATCTCCAACAGCTGTCCAGGTGGTCTTCAAACTGGATGATGGACTTCAACGTGAAAAAGTGCGCTATCCTCACCATCACACGGAAGCGTACTCCCAGCATCCGAGAATACCACCTGTCAAATGGACTGATTCCGAGAGTGAAAGAGTACAAGTACCTTGGAGTAACGGTTGCTGCTGATCTCCGTTGGAACAAGCACTGCCAAACCATCCGGCATAAAGCAAGCCGTACTCTAGGTCTTCTTCGCAGGACTCTCTCACCCTGTACCAGGGATGTAAAGTCCAGGGCCTACACAGCCTTAGTGCGCCCCCAATTGGAGTATGCCTCGGAGGCTTGGAACCCACACAGCGTCACGGTCACAAAAATGCTAGAGCAAGTACAAAGAACAGCGGCTCGCTTTGTGTACTGTGACTACAGATACACCACCACATCACCATCAGCTCTTGTGGCAGCTCTAGGGTGGGACACGCTTCACACACGTCGAATCCTCGACCAATGCACCCTTCTCTACAAGATCCATCACCGACTTGTCTCCATACCTGCACCAACTATTGTTATCCCTGCTACATACTTCGGAAGACATGACCACAACCTGAAGTATGTAATTCCTGTTGCAACTATCGACTCCTTCAAGTTCTCATACTACCCAAGAGCAATAAGGATCTGGAACCATCTGCCAGGCTCTGCAGTCAATGCAACAGGAATAACCAACTTCAAGGAGGCTGCTCTACCCTCCATCAGAATGATGCAGCCCCCCGTTGGTTCTCACATCATATAAGCTTACTAGCTTGGTTTTTACTTGCACTGGACTTAGCATATTTTACTGTAAATTGACAAGTGCTTTGTCCACACACCATTCCAGCAATTCATGACACTCCTTGTAGTCACTTGCCTCACCTACCATCCCAGTATAGCTTCCTGAGTGAGCTGCCAAAGGGATTACCCAACCAAGTACCAAGTACCAAACCCCCTTATAACCTAGTCCTAGGCGATAGATCTAACTAACATTATTTTAAATACATGGGGCTCTGATAAAATAAATGACAATAAGACCATGACTACAAACGTCCAAACATGCAATTAATTACCCAATAAAAATCTTAAAATGTGAAAAACATTATCAAAATACTCAAAATGATTGAATCAACTTACATCTAGTCCTATCAAGCGATAAATTTGGTTGATTCACCTGCGCCATTGTCAATTTTTTCTTCAGAACTGTGATGAATCACTTTAGAAAATTGCAGCCGTTTTAGCGAAATTCAGTGATATATTACGATGCAATATGTGTATAATGAAATTATACCAGCTCGTAAATTCCTGTATTGAAAGACTATATCGTAGGTTTTCTTTTTAAACTGTATATCGTGGACAGGATTAGCTCGATTATGTGTCACTGCAGACTATCGAACATATCGAAGCAAATCAGAATAATTCAATTCAATTGAATTCAATTCATTTATTTTTCCTCTTTCAATCGTTCATATTTAAAATGATGGTACATTTTTAACATATTCACATATCAATATACATATAGATCAATTTTCACATACAATACATTAAAAAAATAAACATGAAATTGAAAGGGAAGGAGGGCCGACTAAAAAGCAGAGCTTGTAGGGTGTAAGCCCCCCTGTAAAAGTAATTATGAATTATTATTTTATGAGAAGAAAAAAAGATAACAATAACTGATTCAGTAATACAAAAAAAAAAATCACTTTTAAACGCAAAAAAAAAGATAAATACATACATACATGTTTATAAAAAAAGAAACAAATCAAAGTTGCATAAAGTCACACTACAAATTATATTTCCTTGGATTCTAGGGCTTCAACTTTCTTTCTTTTCTTTTCCCTTCTTTTTATGTGTACAATTTATGAATAATTTGTATCTTTTGTTTTGAGTGGAAAAATAAAAAGAATTTTAAAAATACTTAACAACTTTAGTAAATAGCATTGGCCTACTTGTATATATAGGCATTTAATTCATTGTGAATTTCTAGTAAATGTTGTAAGTCATATCGTATCGAATATAAGGCACATTAGGAATTAGGACCGGTGGCGGATTTAGCTTTTTGCCAAGGGAGGGGGGGTCGACCCAGTGGCGGATCCAGGGTAGTGAGTAACACTTTTTTTTTTGCCCTCGAAAATATGAAAATTCACAGGCCCAGGGGAGGGGGCCCGTCACCAAATAAAGGTAAAATTAACATGTTGTTACCTGTTTTTTCCCAGGGGAGGGGCCCGGGCCCCCTCCCGGGATCCGCCACTAGCCAGCTCTGTTTATTGTTTCTTATAGTTGAAGACCCCCCCCCCCCTTCAAATTTTAAGAGACTATTAATAGGCTTATGGTAACTGTACGTCGGTAAGATTTGTTAAAATTATCCCTTCAATTTTGGAGCTTTATGACGCAGGGTAGAAACGTAGCCTATAGGCCTACTGGATTACTGGTGTCTTGAGAAAGAGATACCAATATAGACGAGAGAGAGAGAGAGAGAGAAAGAGAGAGAGAGAGAGAGATCGAGACAGAGAGAGAGAGAGAGAGGGGGGGAGAGAGACAGAGAGACAGAGAGAGAGAGAGAGAGAGAGGGTAAGACAGAGAGAGACAGAGAGAGAGAGAGAGAGAGCTGACTCGAGGGGGGGGGGGGAGAGGGGGAGGGGGTCCGGAGAGCCGATGGGATCGCGAACCTCTCCCCTTCCCAATGGTATAAAGGAAATAGAAAACTATGCCCATTTTAAGAGGAAATTAAAGGAATACCTAATACTTGAGAGTCAGAGAAGAGAAGTGAATGACATGTTATGCCTTGAAATATGTATTCTTCTGCCGGTTCATACTTTTTCATTTTGTATAATTATATGTTTTTGTACGTTATAGAAATTCTACAATATTCATCTTTATTTTCCTCTTCTTCCTCCTCCTCTTTTTCTTCTTCTCCTTCTTCTTTCTCTTCTTGTTCTTATTATCATTTCTATCATCAGTTTAATGTTGTTATTATTATTATCTTTAAGAAGTAATTATTTTTCTTTTTCTTATCTGTCTGTAAATATTACTATTTTAATTTATTAATTTTGTACATAGGGGACCCCACTGGAAATTAGCTCTCGAGCTTTCGTGGGCTATCCTGTTCAAGCTGACTTAATTTTTATCTGTTATCATTGTATATTGTTGTATCTTGGAAGCTTGTCGAATAAAAATCAATCAATCAATGTTATCAATCAATTGGTCCCTCTTCTTCTCCACCCATAGAGACTTTATATAAAAATTAAGTATATATCTCTATGTCTCCACCAACGAACTCAAACCAATGTTAATACACGCTTTAGTCTGTGGCTTTCTGCGTTAGGATTATCATGCAAAACTGTTTATTTTTAATGAAGTGATCACTTAACTATGAAAGGTTATTCCAGAGCCTCTTTTAAGGCGATTGGTGCAGTTGAAAGCTGCACAATATGGCATTTTGCAGACGAAAGTTGAGCATACACATAGCACGTAGTCGCAGTTCGCTTTCACAACGCTCGTTCTATCCAAGATGGCGCACGGCGGTGCAATTCAGCGGTCTCGGAAAATCCTTCTACTTACTTGGATTTCGATGGTCTCCACCTCAACTTGCACGAACTTACGTGCACAAAGAAATCCCGTTTTGGGCTACAGTCCGGATCTGACGCATGCGCAACTCATTAGTTTGGCGTTGCCATTGAAAGAGGAAAGATGGAGAACTACAGGGTGAGTAAAGTTGACTTACATGTACTTCCGAAAAGTAATGAATTTATGTTTTTCAAAAACAGAAAATTTAGATGAATATTGTAAAACGTTTATGAAATATTATTTACTCAGCATGAATGAACCTGTTTTGCATGCCATCTATTTTTCAGCTCGAAAACCGCCTCGGAAAAGGAGCACAAGGACAAGTTTTCCTTGCAATTGACAAAAGTGACGGCAAGAAATTTGTGTTGAAAAAGGTAAGCTAAATGTAAAAAGAATTTTCATGTTTTTATTCGGAAGATGTGGTTGAAAGTCTAAACAGTAAGAAGTATAAGACAGTAAATCAATCTCACCCTTAATACAAACTATAATGATCATACTTGATAAAACCTAGGCTAGATTCTTACCGCTAGATCCATTGTCTGTCATTAAATAAAAGCGTAGAATATGAATGAATTATGATATTGAGTTTTAATATTATTGACATCAGTGACATCACCCATGATCATGCATTTGGCACCCATCTTTGTGAAGAGTGATGTAGGCCTACACACACTTAAATGAGTTTTACATCGCCCCTTCCCACACAGTAACCAGGGGTTCTTTTCACAAATTAAATACAAGATTAGCGACATCTTGACGGTTTGCCCGTCTTGTCCGCTTAGATGTGTTTCACAAAACCATCTTTGCCAAGAAGAGTGACAACTTGTCACGGTTCCAAACCTGAGAACGCCGTCTTAAGTCATTTGAAGTAACTCTACGGGCTAGCCTTAAGGGCTCCCTCGAAATGTTTTTTATGATATTATTCGAGGGAGCCTTAAACGGCACCCATAGGGTCCCACGGAGAGGTACTGTAGGTAAACAACAACTAAAATGTGTCCAAAATCACACTTTCCCGCACCCGACCAATATTGGACAGTGGCTTTGATAAATTTTGTTGTAATTGTAGTCCTAATAACCTCCTGAATTTAAAAATCGGAGGTAAAAATAATAAAATAAAAGCAATTTTCTTACCAGACCGATACAGCTCAGCTCCCTTTTCACGTGTACCGTGTGAATTCACGATCTCTACACAATGGTGATGACCTCTGACTGGCACTTCCGTGTTTGTGCTGCTTCCGTATAATGCGCTGTATGAGTGTTATTAGGCTACTACGGGCAGCTAGTGAATTAAATGAAAACTGAAAATTTATTTTAAAACTTATTTCCTGATCTTCAACCTCAAGCTGTTATTTTACTGATCAATTGTTATTTTTGGTCTTAATGTGAAACCGAAAGTGAAACCATTGTACCAAATTTCTTAACGATTGAATAAGATTAAAATATTATTTGTCCATACATCAGTGACCAGTCTACCGGTACCATAAAAAAGTGGCTGAAGATGAAAAAGTCTGTAACCCATGAGAATGATGACATTTTCGTGTAGGCATTTTTCTAGATATTTTCATATTTCAAGCATAACCTTGTCCTTGACATAAATTACAACAAATAATTATCTGATAAATAAATGTTAGCAAATTAAAACTGTGAGTCATAATAGGCCTAGTTTGTTTTCATTATTGATTTTATGTGAATTATAATGGTATCCTCGTACTTACAATCCTTAGATGTTAAACACATATTTTCATGTGGATTGTATCTTGTAATTTTGTGCAACCATGCTCAAAGACTTACTTTTTAAAAGAGTTTGATTGAAAGAAAGCCTTGGTAATACAGGATAAAATCTGATGGATTGTGACAAAGACTTTTTTTAGCTGATGGTATTGAAATCATGAATTTGTCACTCATAATGGATTTGTGAAACAGGTGGTCCGCTTCCTGATATTTCCTTTAAGACCTTAGGTTGCGGACAAACATTTGATTGTCATGGAATTGGTTTCGTGAAAAAATTGGGGGATAGTGGGAATGGGAGAATAATAACAAACTCTGAGGCAGGTATGAGAAAATGTAAAATTTGTTTATATCACTCTTCACACAGGCAAATGGGTGCCAATTAAGGCCTGATGGTAACAATATCATATTTCATATTACATGTATCTGTCACGTCTGTATGAATTGAACTGCTGCCAGTGCCATACTATTTCTACTTCAAATCTTAATTACCGGTATTATTCCTGTGGATTAGTCTTTAGGTACATGTATGTGTACGTGTGTGTGTTCAGGTGTGTTTTTATTGTTTTGGGGTTGTTACAGACATGTATCGATCAGATATGATTATTACATCTAAGACAGACCATGAACCTTGCCATCCGAAAACAACAGACATGACTCACTTAAGTTTTGATCCAGAGTTCCACTTTAAGTCAGTTTGTAGAATGTATAGGCACAGACAGAAAGCAGACCGTAATGCAGACATTGCTCCGAAACCAAAGTTAGACAAAGTCACCAATGTATTCATCAAGTGACAGAACACTGAAGGTGGTGCCGGAGGCATTATTATTTTGGGTTGTCCGTCTGTCTGTACACCCGTCCCGCTTTCTCGTTATTGCAATATCTCATGAACCTCAAACTTGGTCATGCTGGTCATGGTATGTTTTACCATGGGAATATGATCTGATGATATTGTGGAGGAAGTAGGTCAAAAGTTAAAGGTCATAGAGGTCATTTTCTGAAAGTACAGGTAGTAGCCTTGTTATTGCGATATCTCAAGAACCACTAGATTTATAAGTATGACTTCAAAGTTCAAACAAATAGATAGTATGTATATCACCTGAGGCAGATGTTCTTATTCCAATTTTTCACTGAGGTAATTTTTTTAAATGACACTTTACAGGTGTTAGAGGTAATACAAAGTTTTGGTGTGGGGTCATGAATTTGGTTCAAATGAACATATTGGCAGCATATGCGATCCTACACTTTTCAGTGATCGTTTTCACAGTTGAAATCAAGTCTAAAATTATGAAATTGTAAATAATAAACTCTTTAAGTGTATAGCTCCCTCTCAAGGTCAAGATATTCATTAAGCTATTAAACAATGTTTTGTGACCAAAATCGACCGATTAACTATTCCCGTTTGGAAATTATCACAACTACATATTCTGAGATTTTCATGGTCGCAGCTATCATTGTATGGCCGTAGGCGCCATTTGAAATTTATCAAAATTTACCGGGAGCACCGGTAAATTTTTATATTCAATTTTTCTCGAAAGCAGAAGTGTTTTAGGGGCTAAATTTTCTAGTGCTCATAATACATCCACAGGGCCATCCAAATAAATCAAAATTTGTAAAGAATCACTATCCAGCCAATTTTCAGAATTTCCCAAAACTTTGTATTACCTTTAATTAGGCTGGTTATCAGGGTATGTCAAGTGGAGGTATGATCTTTGAACTTTGTTCAAGTATATATCACCATTGGGAGATAATCTGATTACGGTAGACTTAGGGATATATGTAAGTAGGTCAAAGTTCAAAGCTCATAGTCAGGATCCAATTTCCATGAAATTCAGGGTTGTTTTCACACTTTTATCACAATATCTCAAGAACTATTGATGCCATTAACTTCAACTTGGCTCAAAGGTCAAGGGTCATAGAGAAAGAGTATCTGATCAGATTTGGAGATAAGTTGGTCAAAGTTAAAAGATTATTGAGGTAAATTTACATGATGTTTCAAGGTATTACTTTTACCTCAACGTTTAGCGTTTAAACATTTAGCCATGAAGTTCAAACTTGATTTTAGTATTCATCACTATAATGAGCAAACTGATTAGATTTTTCGGTTAAAATGGTCAAAATTTCAAAAGGCATGGAGTCATATACCTACATGAAAATAAAGTGTTTTGTTTAAAAATAGTTTATTATCGCTACATAAATAACTATTTCAAGCTATTTTAGCTGTGAACTTAAAATTTAGAACTAGTATGCATCACCATGGGGAGACAAGAGATCAGATTTCAGGATTGCTATACAGAAAATCACTAATATTTTTCATTATGTGTTGACCTTTTCTTTTTCCATTTTTCTTTTAGGTTGAGTGTACAGATGAAACGGAGGCTACAAAAGCATTCAAGGAGGTACGTAAAAACAAAATTGATCAAATAAAAATTGAAACGTCCTTATAATTGCTAGGCCTCCTCTTATTGGTCCCAAGTCCTTGAATCAATCGCAAAATTAAATATTGCAATAAATAATGTTCTTTTATCCACATCCATATTCTACTTACCGGTACATGAATTTCCAATCAGTTTCTTGCCTTGAACATGATGTAATGTGTGTGTGTGTGTGTGTGTGTGTGTGTGTGTGTATACCATAGCCTGACATTGAAAATACTGAATATGCATGAAGCTGGCTGATGGTCGAGCTTTTCTTTTCTTATCCTCATTTTTCTTTCTTTATGATATTATAATAATTATATTTAGCAAGTCATGAAAATTTGAAAAAGAAAATTCAAAAGATTATTGCAGAATTAAATTGGCCCTATTTTATTTTGACAGTTAAATGAAATCTCCATGAAATGCAGATCTATGCATGTTCATTGTTCATTTGACCAAACTATAATTGTTGTAAATCAGAAAATCATTCAAAGTGAATTCAAGTCTAGAATTTAAGGACCATACTGAAGTTATGTAATGTTTTCTGTGATTCATAGCATTCTACTATTATTCTGTTATCAATCAATGGTTAGAAACTTAGCATGATGGACAAACCGTACAGTCACTTATGTGGCTGTAAAAAAAAAAAATCCTTTTGCTATTCAAATGTAATTGGCAATGTTATTCCAGTACTATTGAATAGCAATGTGGTAATCAGCTAGTGGGATGGTGGGGGGGGGGGGGGGTATTGTAAATTTAAAGGTTCTAATCAAATGCAATTTTGGGAGGGCATCAGTAAAAGTATAAAATTAAGTAATGTAAAGTTGATCATGACTAAACGTTAACATTTCCTGATTATAGTTCATGCAAGTTATGTATCATATTTACAGTTATAATTCACAACATCGCATTATTCCTTGCTCTATTGGTCATAAATCTTATTTTCCCATGGATGGTTACCGGTATGTCACATTTAAACTTCATGACATGATCTATCATTATAAACTACATGTATCTTACATGTACCGGTATGTCATGCTCCTTGTGAGTCACAAATTCAAGAAGCTATTGTTTATTATAAGTTATTAAGTACTGGAACAATAATATTGGAATCCAGTCGTAGAATGCTATAAGTTTTCAGGTTTGCATCAATTCCTAGAATATGAATTTGATGTTCCCTTTAAGGTACATGTATTGCCAACAGTGACAGTTCTACCATTTTAATATCTTTACTAAAATGTTGACTATAATCAAGACATTGATATTGATTTGCCAAAGATTTAAAGTTAAATGTACAGTGTAGACATTTTCTGCAAAGGTGATGGAGTAATGGTGGAATCCAGATAATGGCTGCCAAGCATGTCATATTGCTGTAATAATATCTAATTCATATCATGAACTTTTATTGGAGACGAGGTGTTTGCAGTGCATACATGTACTGTTGAAAACTAATAATAACGGCCTTGATGTATTTATTATTTATTAACTAATTCCTGTCTGCACCAGACAAATTCTGTGGTATCCAGGATCATAAAACAGTTGTTGCTTGGTGTTGCTTAGCAACCAATGAGACTGCTCTTACACCCATTGGCAACATTTCTGTTAGTGGCAGTTTTCACCTTACCCTTCCCCCATTGCAATAGGTCTCCTGTTAATAAATGTTTAAATTGAATTAAATGGTAAATTGTTTCAATGAATATGCCGGAAGTGTAGGCATGTAACTGCACAATAACTGCACAGCCAAGAGCATGATATAGTTCTTTGACTATTTTTGATCATTTGTTTCCTTATTTTTTATCATTTTGCTTCATCCAGAGATTAGTTGTTTGAGTCTATCTGAACAACACAATCTCTCCTCCCACGCATTATAACCAGATTAAACTAAAAAGACTTAAACAAATAAGGACCATTTATAGAGAAAGATTAGAAGAGGAGAGATAGAATAATTGAAAGGAATAAAGAGGAAATAATTTTACAAAGTTCCGTGTAAAAGATATGATGGGCATATATACATAATATTTTGTTCTTCAGTACGATGTATGCATTCATTTCAAAATCTGAATTATAATCATGGCTGATCATGTACACATTGCATTGATAATTGAATTATAAGTTAAGGTTAGAATTATATTTCAAAAACCTATAATGGTGAAATCCTTGCATGAAGTTTCTAAGAAAGAACAATATGGGAGGGTGTGGAAATGGTGGGTGAAAAATTAATGGTTATCATCAGACGTAAAGTGCATTATAAGAATTATAGATTGTGATCATTCCTTTTCTTAATTTCTAAATTTCTAATATGCATATTGTCTAGAATAGATAGATTTTACTTTGGCCATTCCCCTATGTAGTCTAGAGTTGGTGCGCATTTGTTAGGGCTGTCCCTTTTTCGGTTATTTACAGCATGTAAATAAACTTAGGTGCAAGCTTTTCAATCCTTAAATCGGTTGTTTTGCATGTGTCCATGTCTTAGATGGCTCAGGGCGGCCTTGGGGTATTGTTTCCTTTGTTCAGCATATAAAGAAATGTACTCTACGGTGGTATCTGTTTATTCTGTTGACTTTATTAGCCTAGCCCCCCACATAGTATGTGCAAGCGACACCGGTCCCGGAGCAAATATAATTATAGTCTGAATAGCTTACATATACGGTTATGATGGTAATAAATGTCTTTGTCAGAATTGCTATTCTGTAAATAGACCATTATTTCAGAAAGTCTGCCAAGCATGTGAATATTTAGAATGAGGAATACAAAGAAGTCAGTTTTTAGATCTTTGACTTGAAATGCATCAAGGCAACGAAGTGGATACCTCTGCATTGTGTGATTCTACTAGATCATATACAAAGAAATTTATGTGTCACCTTATTGTTTAGTTATATCTGTTTACCAGTTTACCAGGTTACCTGTTTAGCCCCTCAATAGACGTAAGCAACACCAGACTTGAGATAAATAATTGAATGACTCTTTGTCGTTTTATGATATCGTAAGAAATGTTGATAAACACCATTTTTACTTTGTAATTCTTTTTTCTTCTCTTTCGACATACTTAAACATGAAAAGCAGGGAACATGTCTATGAAAGCTTTATATATTTTTGTTTGTGTGATAAACATTACATTTCTTTGTTCATTGATCTCTTTTACACCCCCCCCCCCCCCACCCAAGAGAGATATCATTATGACATGTCATAGATGGCTAGGCCTATATTGACTTAAAATATTCATCATAAAAATATCATAATTTAAACAAAAACGAGCTCAATTGAGCTTCAGAAATGTTAAAGTACTCCAGCATTTGTTTTTCTTTAGATAACTTGTATACAAATGAAAAGGAGATTTCACTTCTTTTTTTCTATCCTGCTACAGCAGTGATGCACATACAATTATCTTTATACCATCATCAGTGCATTTTTTTTCAAAGGGATGTTTGTTGGGTCTTTTTTTCTTTTTTTTTAATAATCTTTTAGTGTATGAACTTTATTTCACAAAATATTACATTTTCACTTTGTATCTTTGATATATTGCTTTATTTTTTAAAAATAAATTGTGATTACAATGTACATCATGTAAGTGAACAATGTTGAGGTTTTTTGTTTTTATTTTTTATTTTATTTCTCTCTCCTTCTTCATTTAAACCCCCTCCAAGTGTTCAACAATGAGGTTGGACTGTAAAGAACTTCTACATTTTGCTATTGTGAATTTGATATCCATTTCAGGTACATTATGCCAAATTTATCAATGAAACATGCCAGTTTTAAAGTCTACCGGTATATAATTCACCCTCTTTATAGTTCATTATACATTTATGACATCTGTCCAATCCTGTGGTACCAAGAAGGGGTTTATAAACTTATTTGTTTGTCTTTTCTTTGCATGTAGGCTATGGCCCTCCAGGAGCTCAAGCATCCATACATCTGTGGCTACAAGGATTTCTTTGTCACATGGGACAAGGAGGTAAAGAAAAAAAAATTGTAGTTAGATTTATGTTTTAAAGCCCCACTGCACGCGTCCTCTATATAACAAACAATTAATGCCTAAGTGGTGACCATTGGTCCCCCATGGGCCCCATTTTCTTATGTTAATTGAGAGCTGATTTAATGAGATAACCACCTGTCAGTGACCATGCAGGGAGGTCTAATGCCTCTTGGCCAAACCAGTGCAGATAGGCTTTAAGACTGTGTACAGTACATGTATTTTTGTCTTTAAAAGGTAGATTCCATGATAAAATCTCATGTGTAACTATGTAATCTGACACATTCTGTCTCATTTCATGAATTCATTCAATTGTCCAGTTACTTGTGCTTGTGCATTCCCCAATTCATGTATGAATTAACATTATACTTTTGATGTCAGTTTTTCATTCTGTATTTGTTAAATGCCATTTGACATACGGTACTTTGTAATTTGATAGCTTGACTTTCCCTTGTTCAGTGTCCTTCTAATGGAGCATTTTGCCCTGCAGTTAATATGTCAGAATTGTCTTTCTCTTCCTTTTTTAGTAGGTATGTTATTTTGCTTCTTAATTATTTTTTTGTATTTTATACAAAATCTGGACAAAAATGAAACTATCTGAATTCATGTCTTGGTTATCCCCCCCCCCCCCCCCCCCCCCTGCCAAAAAAAAAGGAAAATTAAAAAATGTTTATATATGCTCACTGAAAGTCCTACACTATATGTGTATCATTCTGATAAATCAATATCTCTTAATTATTCATGGCCTGTTGTAGTCCCATATGAATATGGCCACCACCCCCTTAAAATCACCTTGTCACTGATGACAGGAAGAGGAGTAAATGACCTGTGAGGCCAGAGATGAGGCCAGGCATCTCTTTTGTTCCCTGTCTTGGAAATCATTGCATTCAGTCTATTGTTAAGGGCTTCGTACAGGTAATAAAGGATGGGAGATGAATAGGGATAGAGAGAAGGGAAGAAGACACCTGAGGGTGTGGTTACAAAGGGTCTTTTCAAACCTGGACAATGGGTGCAGGGATTCTTGAGGAGAGTGATTATATAACATTGATCAATTCCCCCCCCCCCCCACTATATAGATTATTTTGAACAATACACTTTTATGGGTTTTGTGTATCCTGCTTGAACAAACCTACTGACAGATGTAAGTTTGGTAAACTAGATAACAAGCGGAACATATTTCGCATAAAATAGTTTAGGGAAATCCCCCCTCCCCCTGTGATGTAAATTACATTTTTGAGGCAGAAATAAAATGCATTTCAGTCAGAAAAACTACTGCATAATTGCTCCTCCTCGACCCCCCCCCCCCCCCCCCCCCTTTGCAGTTGATTAAAATTGTAACATTTCCATCTTCCCTGAGTGCATTCAATTTGAAATAGCTACTTTCTGGACAAATAAACTACTGCAGGATTGCTCCCCTCATCTCCCTTGCAGGTGACTTATACCCTTTTCTAACTGCACTCTATCGGAGTCACACCGATGAAAATACCAATTGAATTTTCCTTGTGTAAACAAAGGTGAAACCGCAGTTTTCCCCCTGTCGGTTTCTAACTGCCGGTGAAATTCACTCGCTGTGGCGAGCCCTTGCCGGAAGTGAAGAATTATTGCGTAATGATTAAGCCCGCGCTCCATCTAACTAGCATGCAGCATGTTCAACCATAAGTCAACAAACACAGCTGGTTAAGATAAAGCGCGCATATACTGCGACCTTTGACCATTTTAATCGCTGTTTTAATCGCCTTTTTCTCCCGAACGTTTTCTAACTGGCAATTTCATCGGTGTCACACTGATAGAATGAGAATTTCTCCTGCTCTTGAGCAGGAGAATTTAATCGCCTATTTCTCTTCTTTTCATCGGCTATTTAATCGCCTTTTTCTCCTCTGTTGCTTTCTAACTGGCACTTTTATCGGATGCGTCCGGATGCATCCGATGAAAATCAGTGCAGTTAGAAAAGGGTATAAAATTGCAACATTTTCACTTCCCCTGAGTGCATTTAAAGGCCCACTGCACTACTTGTAGCTACTTGCGCCCTCTATATAACAAACAGTGCCTCATCGGTTACCATTGGTCCCCCATGATCCTCTTTTTCTTATGTTAACTGAGAGCTGAGTCGATGAGATAACCACCTGTCCAGTGACCTTGCAGGGCGGTATAATCCCTCCTGTAAACTAGTACAGATAAGCTTTAATTTGAAATAGGTACTTCCCCCTCCCTGATCAACTATCCTCCAGGCCAATTACCCCCTAATTAGGCATAAACGCCCCTGTTGATTCAGTGAACCTGTAGATAAAGACCACTCCAAGGAGATTAAAAGAGCAAAGTCTCTATACCCAGGTGGTCTTTATAGACAGGTTGCTTTCAATTGTACAGGTTTCAGTAAGAGAATCAAAGCAAGTGGTCTTAGAAAGATGGCCTTTCTGTACCGATGCCCACTAAAGCAGGTTTAACTGAAGTTGTCACAATTAAGACATGGGGAAGTAGTTGTCGGTGGGGGGGGGGGGGTTCATATAGGATGCAGTGGTATACATTCACCTGTCGAGAGAGTCTATCTTGATAAATATTTGACCGATACCTTTCCTTGCAAACTCTCTTATCCAGGAAGCTGCCATCATAGTATGTATAGTCATGGACTACTACAAGATGGGGGATCTAGACAGATTGCTGAAGAAGAAACGTAAAAAGAATGAAGCAATCGAAGAGCTGGTGAGTACTTAGTATTTCATGATGTTTGATTGCTCTTATTAGAAGAAATTTTTAAATTTTATTCTAATAAGACCACTGCAGGTGGTGCTGGATGCATTATGTTTTCAGGTTATCTGTCTCTCCGTCCTTCCGTTTGTTCTGTTTTCTCGTTATTGCAGTAAACCAGTATCCAGTCTTGTTCTCTTTATTTGTTGTAATCCCAGCCAAATGCTGGTTATGGACCTTCTATCTCAGAAGATTATAGAATTCAATAGATATTATAAAAATTAGACCAGAAATTGTCTGCATTGTTTTTAATTTTGTACTTTTCTTTTTGTTTTGTTAATGCCCTTTCTGCATTAGATCCTGAAGAAATGGTGTGGACAAATGATTGAAGCTCTTGCTTTTGTCCATCAAAGAAAGGTCATTCACAGGTACATACAGACTTTTTACCTCATTTTAATTTTAAAAATGTAATTTCTTTATATTCATTTTGAATATCAGGAAAACTGTGCAACAAAGTCAATTATTTGAAAACCCTTTAGTTCAGTACTTTATGCAGCTTACTCTGCCAAAAGTATTTTAATAGCATTTACTATGGTTCTATTTTCAAGGGTACTCACACGATCTTGCTGAGCAGCAAATGCACATGAAATGTACCATCAAAGGATAATTGAGTAAATTTGATGAAAATGAAGAGTGAGAACTCAAATTTTTTACTTTTATAAGTCCATTCGAGCATGCTTGTCTGGAAAACAAAGTAACAACAATAGCTTCCAGTATAATATTTCAGAATAGTTATAATTGTCTTTAGAAATGGTTTCACAAATACTGGAAAGTATCATGCCAGTAATCTTGTTCATTTTTTAAAGTCTAAAAGTTCCTATATACTTCATTTTTTTAATCTCACAGAGATTTGAAACCAAGCAACATCTTCTTGACCGATGACCTCACACTGTCCCTAGGAGACTTTGGTGTGGCGACCATCATGGATGATGCCAGGACAAAGGCTAGGACCACTGTTGGTGAGTTATGAATCAGAATATCAACCTACGCTTATGTTTATCATTTTCATTGCCAGATAAATACATTCTGATAGGTGATCCATCTGTAATATAAATATACACAGATCACTTTTGTAGTATACAGTGTCTTTGGGGAGAAAAGAAAAATGTATACCATACCCCAATTCCCCAAATGGTTAATTGTCATGATGCCCAGGTTGTGTGATGAAGTACGTCTTCTCTGAAATATTTTGAAATCACATTCCAAGTGTGTGATGTATGGATCAATCTAATATTGTTCGTTACCTTGAAAACTCCATGTACATGTAAGGATACAAGCGTAGATGATTTTACCTTATATATATAATTATGTGCAACAGCAAGTACTATCCCTACACAAAATCAATTACACTTTGCTGCTGAATAGCCTAAAAGGAACAATGCTATTTAAAATGTGATTGTTTTATTACAATGTGTAGTATGAGTCAATCCTCATGTTTTAGGAATAAAATAATCATTCCTGTCCTTTATGCTTCTACTCACCTTTACCCTTTGACAGGCTCAATGAACTGGATGGCTCCTGAGGTTCTAGAGAAGCCGTACGATGAGAGAAGTGATGTCTGGTCGCTAGGGTGTATCATCCTCGAGATGGCTACATGTGGATTCTTAGATGTAAGGCATTGGTCACATAGTGACTCTCAATAGTTTTTCTAACCAAAATTCATCAAAACTACCACTAACTTCATAACTAAGATAACAGTCTAGATGTTTCCTATGAAAATAATGTTGAGCACAGAAATGTGCCTGCTGTTTACCCAAGGATGCCAGATTGCATTATTTTTTGGCCAGATTTCAGACCTTGACATGTGGATCCTAGACTCCTGTATCAGAAAGGACAGTGTCCTAAGATGAGGAGTCTGGATGTCTCAGTGGTAGAGCAGTGGTCTTGTGACCGGGAGGTCCTGGGCTCGACACCAAGTCAATGGGCTGTCGCCCTTTGATAAGGCACTAATCCTGATTACAGAGTCCCTTGGAGCCGTTGGTCCCCTGGTTGTTTACTTACAAGCATATACATGCTTTCTTAGTAGTCAAGTAAAAATTTATCATTAATTAATTTATGGGTCTCTTTTTGATGTAGTTGAGTAAAGTGTAATTACCCAAACAGAAGTAGAAGATTAGGTATGAAACTTTCCTCTACTTTTAGTTATTAATACCTCCTGTTTGAAAGTAAATATTGTTTATTGTTAGTTATTTCAACTGCCTCCCTTGCAATAAGCTAAAATATCAAGGAAAACATACATAAAGATTAAGAAAAGTTTTTTTAAAATACTTATTATGATTTAGTTTTTATTATAAATGTTATTCCTTTCAACCTTAGACTCAATCGATGGGTGAAGTTTTGATGGGCATCAAGCAAGATCCAGCCAGACTGGAAGAGGCTTTAGAACCAGTTGGAAAGGTAAGAAAAACATTCATTTTATGAGCCTACTTATTATATTCTTGACAATACATTGAAATACAACTTATAACCTACACTACAGGTATATTAATTGCAGCGTTTAGAACAAACAATACATTATATATGAAAAATGTGGTTTGGTGCAATAGAGGAATAAAAGAAACTTAATTTATTGTAAGCAGACGATACAAGTTCCAATCATGGTGACTTACACGATGATCATAATAACCATTTTGTTGCTCTTTCATATAAATTCTCTGTATTGCATGGAGTTTGCATATATTTGTAATGTATTTTCTCTCTATTTTTAGACGTATTCTGCAGATTTAAGTCAAGTTATTCGCACCATGCTGAGAAGGAACTTCCAACAGAGGCCGTCTGCATTGTAAGTTTTCTTTTTGTAATTTACATCTGTCATTTAGATATGAGATGATAATAGCTACATTTACACTGCAACCAAAACTCATTGATTTTTCTCACATTCCAGTGTTTACCCACCATTGTGAAGACTGCTAATGACCAGTTCAATAAACTTTTGATTGCAATCCTGTTTAGATTTCTCACTGATTGATGTAAACACTGTTGGGTCAGGGCCCTTAGGTCAGGGCCCTGTTTCATAAAAACTTGTTATCAATAACAAATTACACTAACTGTCATCGGCTACTGAAATCGTGGCGTTTGATTGGCCGAGAGCAAATGTGTCATGGAAATTTAGCATTTGTTATTGATAGCAGGTTTTATGAAACAGGGCCTTGGTGATACATGTATCATATGAACATATGAAGAATCTAAATCTAGGTACATAGAGGGCTCTAAGAAGAGAATAAGATTAGTCTCACCCAACAACAGAAACTAATCGAATTCCCAACTTTAACCCTGGACCCCAAACTATACATAACCCTAAGCCTCGCCCTAACACTAAGCCCAATCCTGACCTTAATCACAATTACAATTGTAACCCTAAATCTTTGACAAAATAAAGCTTGGAGAATTTGTCGCAGGAGCAGATGTTTTTTTCTTTTCTCAACAATACAGTGTTGACTTTTTAAGGGGTTGATGTTCATAAGGCTAAATGCCCTTTTTGTTAACCCCACATTCCCATAAAATTTTGTTTGCTCCTTCCCTTTGTATTTTTCTTGTAATCAATCTTTTATCTGTATATCATGTTCGTATGTTTTAATGTTTTTTATGGAGAATAAAATAAATAAATAGAAAAATGAAGATCACCACTGTTCATATTCTGTTCTGATTTGATCCACAGGGAGTTGGTCGAGCTGCCCTACATCAAGGAATGTCTAGCATTGAGCAACTCGGCTCTGACTGGCAAGAAGAAAGAGAAAGAAAAGGCTGCAAGTAAGAACAATGATAGCATTTAATAGCAGTCCTTTGTAAAAACCTATTGTCTCAATTTATTATTATGTTACACACAGATCTGAATTGACCGAATAGAGGTATAACAATGAAATTTAAATGAACTGGTTTGGTTTGGTTTGTTTGTTTTTACCTGACTGCTAAGGAAACATGTGTATGCTTGTAAATAAGCAACCAGAGGACCGACGTCTTTAAGTCCTCTCAGAGGGATTGGTAATGAGGATTAATGCCTTACTAAAGGGTGTCTGCGTGTGTAGGGTGTATGTACAGATTTATGATGATAATATTGCATTTATACTACACATGACGTGGAAAGGAATTGACAATATGTTTTAAAAAATCTCAAGCTAAAACATTGCTCTAATCAGAAATGTGACATTGTGTCTAGGACATTTTTTCATTGTTCTAGGACATATTTATGTAATAAACTTGTATTCATCTCTCTCTCTCTCTCTCTCTCTCTCTCTCTCTCTCTCTCTCTATTTTTCTTATTTTCCTTATTTCACAAGAATGATTTTTGATTAAGTATCTATGTGTTATCTGGTAGTGCCATAATGTGTCGATAGTTAATATCCAATTTATTTACTTATATGCTACTTATACATTTTGGCTTGCATGGTGATGTACTTGCGGTTGCACCATGTGAGAGAGAGGAAGGATTGGGGAGTCTCGATAATCTTTCTTTCTTGAGTGTGTGTAGTCCTGAAAAGGACTGTTGATGTAGTGTCGAAAAAGACTGTTGGTTATCTTTCACTTATGTTTTAAATTTTCTTTCCTTTTAGAGGATTGTCCAACAGACAAGGGCATTCCTGGTGTCATGGGTAAGTCAATGTATTTGATGCCTGGGTTGTATCATTCTATTCAAGTTATATCAATCATCTTTTATTCCAAGATTTGTAGACCTTTCATATTTACTCTAAGCGTGAAAATCACTATTAATTTCATAAGACTATTATATTATTTGTTGTTTATAACTAGACTAGATTAGAGTATCTGCTTGCATGGTGATGTACATATACAGTAGGCTTACGGTTGCACCATGTGAGAGAGGGGGGAGGAGTGGGGAGTCCTGAAAAGGACTGTCGGTAATATTTTCTTTCTTGAGTGTGTGTCTCAGGATTACCAACAGTCCTTTTCATGACTACATTAGACTAGTACTTCAAAAACATATACAGCCTGTATATAATACTTGTCAACAATTTTCATGTTTCATTAAAAAAACAAGTCATTTTATCTGAATTTTGTAAGGGTTGTAAAAGCAGTGTAATTAAACCATTATGTTTCTTCTCTTTTCAGCCTTCATCACCGAGAATAAAGATAACGAGATCTCCATCACAAAAGCTTTCAAATATCTCAACACCCTTCAAAGTAAGTCATGGATACACCTCATACAGCTAACCCTGTATGTCTAATTTGTTGTGATCATGTGTATGTTTTTGTGTGTCGTATCATGAATTTGTAGTGCTGTACTGTAGGAGAGCTGCCTGTAATGGCCACAGTTCTTCCTTTTGCGAAGAAAGGGTGTTGGGGATGGAGAATGGGTAAGGGGGAGATGGGATGAGAAAAGGTTCGAGATTCCCAAAATCAATATCCACAGGAATATATTGAATGCCTAGTGGGGGGGGGGGGGTGTTCCTGACCCCTTCCCAACTGAGTATGTCTGGGAGGCTCATCAGGATTCTCCAAATCATGTTGCTAGGAAAAGAAATCCTGCTCACACCACCCATTTTCTCTCCAATCCTAGATCTGCCCCTGCTTATATGATGCTCTTGTGTGTCACTCTGCAAAGATTAAATGGCAGAAATAAAGAAGTTGTGATGAATATTTGGGCATGAAATGATAATAATAATCTGAGTTTATATAGCGTTTAATACGGAATGCCGCCTCTAAACACTTTACAGATATTATTACCCCAGTCATCAGATTTATTCACGCACAATGTGCACCATCTCCACTCCCTGGGGAGTATTCCTACCATATGGACACCTTGAGGGCATAGGCAACTAACGCAATTGCTTTTGTCATCCTACCGGGTCCCCATTGCTCTCTTGGGTATTGAGTGGCAGATGAAGATTAATGCCTTGACAAAGGACATTGGTGCCGTGTCGGGGATCGAACCCACGACCTTTGAATTTCTGGTCAAGTGCTTAAACCACTCAACTACGACACTTCTAAATATACAAACATGCTGACTTTAATGTTCATTTAATTTTCTCTCTCCTTGCAGCGCCTCAGATTGATGAAGCCGGTAAGAAGCTGATCATTAGTAGCATGAAGAGCAGTGTATCAGAGGTAGCACTACAGATTGAAGCCTGCAGACTGCTCCTTACCCTCACAGCAGCCGGTAAGACCAAGTGAATTGAGAAGACAAATTAATTGCTTTAGATGTATGGTCAAACCTGTCTTAGTGGCCACCTCTCTATAAAGACAACCTGTCTATAGTGATCACACATATTGCCTCCCTCTTGAAGGGAATATGTGTTGAAGAACCTGTCTAAAAAGGCAACCTGTGTACAGTGTCCACTTTTGTGTTTCTCTTTGGTGGCCTTTATAGACAGGTTTGACTGTATTGCCTCATTGGCCATCCCTCATCTATATTTTATGATAAAAAATGTTATGTAAAAAGGGTGATTTGAACTTTAAGAGGCTGACTGAGAGAAATTGAAATCAAATTTATGTCTGGGTCATTCCATAAAGTTGGGGGGGGGGGGTAAAAATGACCATGTCCATGTAATGTAGGTATGAGATCTTCTTTTGAAGCTTTTTACGCAATGAATTTATATAGTAGTGCCCTGCCAGAATCGTTCCTGTTTCAATTGCTTTTCTTCAAAAAAATTCTTAATACACATTTCTCTTTTTACCAGTGTTACATAGACACCATATTCATATAACATTACATAAACTTTGGGTCAATAATATTGATTCACTGTGAAGCTGAAGTACTTCTCAAGATAGCTGGCTATGCTTTTTATGCAAAACTCAATTTAATCAAACATAGTTTCTCACTTCTGGTATGTCAAAAAAAGTGCCCCAACTTTCTGGACGGACCGTCTGTTAACCCTACGTTAACTGGGGGGGGGGGGGGGTCAATTTGACCCCCCCCCCCTGTAGAAATTTTGCGACTACTCCGAAACCGCAGCAGATATAAAATTTTCCTTTCATGACTTTTTACTTTCGAGTCTTACGCATCTTTTAAAACGATTTTTTTGAAAATCGGACCTACGGTTACAAGGTCACGTGACCTTTTGTCTTTGCATGTCAGCCCGAAAATCGCTCATTTTCGTGATTTGTGTACAAAACATATGTAAAAGTCATTTTTCCTAAAAATAGATAAAACATTGGTTATTCAGTCTTGTTTAAAGTTGAGATGTTTGTTTTGGGGTTAAAATAGTTGAATTGTAGTTATAAATGAAATAAAACAACAAAAACAATAAAATACATAAGTTAAAAAAACAATGAAATACATAAGAAATTATAAAAACAAGAGATAACATAAGGGATAACCTGGCTCTTCCAATTTTTTGTGTTGTATTATTATTCCAAAAGGTCTAATAAATATATGTAGTGAAAAAGAATACGTAAACATGAATAATCTATGATTTATGGGCAGAAATGTGAATTTGATGACCTTATTTGCATAAATTCCCATAAATATGCAAATGAGTGAATTTTTAAAAAATTTGAAATTACCATAGTATTCTATACACTTCACTTGACATGCATGCAAATTTTCGCGGCGATCGGCGGTGAAACGGCCGAGATCTTAGGGGGGGGGGGTCAAATTGACCCCCCCCCCCCCCCCCCGTAAAAACCTGGTCTGAAATAGCCCAGTTAAAATAGGGTTAAAGATATCTTTCAGTTTCCCTTTTGTATTGTATGCTAGATCAACCAAATTTGTTAAGAAGTCATAGATAGTCATAGCTTTGTTCAAAAAGTCTGAATTAACGAAATCTAGAATCTGTTTGTTTTCTATTCAACTATTTATTGTTGCTGTGGTTATTATTTTCAGCTGATGCTGAAACTGATGCTGATGATTATCTGTTTTCTGAAGAAGTCATCCGTGCTGTTATTCTACCAATGAAGGCAAGTACAATTCTTCATCTGTTTATATTTTAGTAGGGCATATTTTTCATGCTCTTTCGGAAAATTAAGAAAAAATTGATAAATTCCAAAAAATAGATTTTTATGATGTCACAGCTTCGGTACTCTGTACTGGTTGAGAGACAGCACAGAGATACTTGGAAGGCTCTATCAATGGCCTTCCTGAATGTGCTGGATAATGTAGAGTTCACAATGTTGTCACTCCAATGGCTCACTCTATGATAGCAGATGGAATGCCTGAGTTCCTGCGTTGTTCAGTTTGTGCTCTGATGGGGTTCACACTGGGGCACTAGCTGCTGTTTGTGTTACTGTATATTGAATTTACTTTTCATTTGTTCTATTTTCTTACAGGCCCACCCATCATCCCGAGATTTCCAGAATATAGCATGCTCCCTTCTTAAGACCATAGCACTCAGTGGTGAGTAAGAAGGCAAGATTTTACATTCTACAAATGTTGGAAATCAAGTTTGGTTAATTTGGTATAGTTTTGTTTAAAAGCTACTCTTTGTTCTATAGGCCCCTTGATGTAATTCAATCAAGAATAGAAATGGAAAAGCTGAATAGGTCCCCTGTATAGTTGTGAATATAGATTAATGTATATTTACTTATATCAGAAGGACATCAGATACAGTTGTTTTATTCTTGAGCCATTTGATTAATGCCCCTTTGCACTACTTACCGGTATAGCTACTTGCGCCCTCTATAGTAGTCAATGCCTAATCGGTGACCATTGGTCCCCCATGGTCCCCACTTTCTTATGTTAAATGAGAGCTAATTTGATGAGATAACCACCTGTCAGTGACCATGCAGGGAGGTCTAATCCCTCCTGGCCAAACTAGTTCAGATAGGCTAAGAACGTCATAATCTTTAGTTCAACAAGTTTGAAGAGGAGAGAAGTCACCAAGTAATAATTAGCAACAGTTTTCTGCGTTGAATGAGAAGTAATCACTCTCCTGTCATGTAACCTCAGTAACTATTTTTTCTTTCTATTCTGCATTTATTCATTTTCAGAGCAAGCAGCAGGGTCGATAGGGAAGCTAGGAGGAATACAAGACATCCTCTCGGCACTCAGAACACATCCCTCTGATGCTCAGGTCTGCGCCAACTGCTGTAGCGCCCTCTCCTATCTCACTATCAATGGTAAGTTAGTGCTCCGTGGAGTGATCCCCCCCCCCCCCCACCCTCCTGGAAAACTGCTATACACCGATTTGATTTCGCCTGCTATTAATTTCTGTCTGCCATAACTTGGGAGCTTGATGAACCAAAGTCTTTCTATGCACTGCTTCAATTATGAATCTGCATTGAATAATCTTAATTTTATGACTTTCAGTAAGAAATAGTCAGTGGCTGGGGGCAATTTGCCCCAGGCTCTCTCTAAAAAAATTGCCACTTTAAATGGTGGAAAAAAAGAAGAAGCTGCCATTACTTTGTCATTGTCGGTAGGTCATTGTGTGCAAAATAAATTTGTAAATAATAATTAGACTTCAAAGTGAGCTCAATCCCCCTTTTTTAACATTGGTTTTGATTATACATTTTGTTATTGGAAGCCTGATATCTGAAATCTGGGCCATGTATTTTAAAAGCCCTTTGATTGATCGTTAGGTTAATATTGAGCGTAAGTCTATGGCTGATCGTGTTTTGATCAAATTCAAGATCATTCGTAACTCGTTATAATACACTGCCCTGTTCAGTGCAAAATGTATTCATTTAGTTACTGATGTGTCTGCCATCTTTGTTTTTGACAGATAAGAATCTTGACATCATGAGAGAGGAGAAAGGTGTGGTCGATCTAATCAACGCCATGGAATCACATGAAACTGATTCCTCAGTCATGGATTTCACATGCTCGGCTTTATGGGGACTATCACTAGAAGGTACGTTCTTCACTTTGATCGTCAAATTGGCAACAATTATGTAAAAGTATGATCTCATCAGCGCAATGGAATCACTTGAAACATATTCATCCATTATGGAATTCGTATGATCTACGTTATGAGGACTGTCATTACAAGATAAGTTAAAATCTGCATGAGTCCACTTTCGATTTTCAAAATGGCAACATTTGAATTATAATTCGTCTCTTAAAATTAATCATTAAAAACCCTGTCAAGTATCTGATACATAAGTTTATGAATAATTTTGATTATGATGATAATAAAGGGATCTTAAAATATAAGAAGCAAAGTATAGAGAAATTCTAAACCTGTTTACCTTGTAAGTTGATTCCAAAACCATTACTTTATTCATTGAGCCGCAACTTACATTCAACTCGACAACTCAATATTTTTTATTGTATTGCATACTCAATACACCTTTATTATAATTATTGACACCTCAATATTTTGATTGCACCTTCTTGACTTCTGCTATTAAAACATCGAGAGAATGGAAACAATTGATTTTCTGATTTTTTTTTATCCAGATGAGAATGTAGAAATGATGGCAGCTCGAGGTCTTGCAAAGGTCCTTCTCAAAGCAATCACTGATCACAAACAGGTTAGTAGTCATTATCATTCTATCTCCTTTCTCTTTCTATTTCTCCTCATAAAAACAAAGTATTAGGTGCATTATAAATGTGAGCTATTATTATTATTGTTGTATCTACTCTACTTGGTGATACGAATCGATTAATTTCATTTGCACAACAGAAAATATTAAATTGCTTATCCTATGACTAGCAGCATGTTTTTTTTTTATTAAAGGAAACTTTTGCAAGTTATAGAAACCTATGTGAATATTGTAGTTGAGCAAAACAATCATGCCGTCTTTGCTCATCTTAATAAAAATGTTTCCATGTGAAGTCAGTGATAATGTTTTAACAAGGTATTTGATTGCAAAATTATGTTTTCTATATGTCTTTAAAGGGATCATTTAACAATGTTAAATCTGAGATACACGGTCCTACATGTGTCTGCGATATGGTGTAATATTGAATCCCTAAAAAAAAAATCGCGCTTCAAAATGATCAAGAAGTGCCTCAAAAAAGTAAAAAATCTTTGAGTGACCGGTTTTATCATACTCGTTTTCCCCAATAGACTTATGAAAACCGTTCAGTGAACGGTTTTCAAAATTTGTAATTCCAATCATTAATATCTTGATAATCAGACAGGCAATCGGCTTGTAAAAGTCATGGAGTTCCTCGACTGACCTAAAGGTTTATAATTATTATTGCAACATGAGCTAAATCAAGGATTATTTCTAAAGGATCTAAGACAAAGTTACCGGATCCCTTTAAGATCAGCTTCTACTGCTAATGGTTGGCAGCCATGTGCTTTAATTACACATTAGGTGGGTTCTTTTATGAGTTGTCTCTTCAGAACGTAGCAGGTTGGCGCAATAGGACTCCAGATCTAGGACTGACGTGTTATACAATGGGTACTAATATTAGAATCACACTTGTATCTTTTATCTTTATCAGCATGCCGACGTGGTGAAGAACGGCTGCATGGCCCTATCAAGCCTGGTCGCCGAGTCGGAGGAGAGTGCGTACCTGGCCCACAACTCTGAGGGTATCACCATCGTGGCTGAGGCCTACCACCTCCACAAAGAGAACCCAGACGTGGTGGAATACGTCTGCTCTTTCTTCATGGATCTTGCTGAGACCGGTGAGTAGCGAGTAGCCTGCATCAGCATTTCTGTAGTCAGGGGGTGTTTCACAAAGATCGCAAGTCGAACTTAACTCTAAGTTGGACTTAAACATTATGGAGAGCCATTTGTAGCCTTAAAATAAAATATATTCAAAAGCAAAAATTCAAGTATTTCAACTTTTTATACATTCTACATCAAGAACATGAAATCCCCTATGATAATAGAAAATATGAATGATTTTAATCAACATTTTGTGACTTTTAAAAATAACTTTTTCAAAAATATTTTTGAAGATCCCATCGGCTTTCCATAACTGTTAAGTCCAACTTAGAGATAAGTTCAACTTAGGATCTTTGTGAAACACCCCCCTGGAGTCTATTACTCAACTTGAAAAAGATCAATCAACAGCAACAAATAAATTATATATTGCTCTGTATTTTTGGGATCCCATGTTTATAAACTCTATTATAATCACCATCAAATACTCCATTGGAAGATGTTTGAAGTTTGAATATCATTGCCCTTTACAAAATCTAGGTTTTGGAAATGCCCCCCTCTCAAAAAATGAAATGAAGCTCTTATTACCAATCATGTGAAAACATATGTTTTGACTAATACGTGATGATACAAATTTTGCCGGGAAACCGCCTAATCATTGATATATTTGGTAAACTATCATATCGATCCGGATTGGATAGTTATCGCGAATGCACTTCATCATTGAACATTCAGGCATATATTTCTGCTTTTTTGCGAATTTAGGTTGAAGTATTGCGATCTAAATCTGGGAAGGCAATATTTAAACAATATTGAATGGATATTTTGCACCCAAAACCCTTGAACCGCAATTTTACCACCACCGGTATTCTTTAAGGTATTGCAACTTCAGTTTTGCAGTTTTCTATCAAAATTTGCCTAAACTTTCAATAGGTGGTATCCTAAAACACAAGTTGTTAAGCACAGGCAAGACAGAACGTGCCGTTTGCTTGTTTTGTTTAAAAATCTTAAGGTAAAATGTTTAAGAACTGAAGAACAAAGTCTTAACTGAATTCGGGGTTGTCAGAGTATGAAAAATTCATGGAGAAAGGGTGAAACAAATTTATGTGCAGATTTTAATCTTCTTTACAATTTTTTATGATTTTCACAGAGGATATTTTAGAGGATATGAAAAGCATGTCAAAGGTCAAGGACATCATCAAAGAAGTAAAGGTCAAATACGCTTCAAATGAGGTAAGTTATATCCCTCGGCCCTATCTTATAACGATCGATCCAAATCAATCGTAAGTCCTCCAGTCAACCGCAAGTTTGCAGTCTCCTATCTCTTATGTACATAGTTGCAATTGATATCAACTCTTTGTAAGACAGGGCCCTTGTGAGTCATGACAACAAAATGTTTATGTTGTGAGGACTTAAATGTAATGACCATTTCATTATTCATGACCTGTCAGGTTTGCTTCTGACCATACACATTTTGAAGAAATATAACTCCTATTTTTTGTAAAACTAGAAATTCTACCAAATACTGCGACTAGAATGCCAGAGAACAGAGATGTGTGGTGAAAGTTACAATCAACTTCCAAGCTGGGAAAAGATACCTTGATAGATAGATATATAGACATTTTAACATTTCCAACAATTTCTAACACTTGTAGTGTACTTTAATAAAACACTTGTCAGTACCATGGTACTAAAGAGCAACCAATCTTGTCTATTCAGAAAACTAACATTTTCCCTATCTGTTCCATCATCAAATTTTTTATTTGTTGATGATATTTAATGTTTCATGTTATAAAACTCACAGATACCCCTCTCCCCTAAACTGTCAATTATAAGAGCTATCAAATCTTTATATCCACTTATACTCAACATTATTCATATTGTTTTTCCTTCTTATTCTACTCTTTCCCTTTCCTATCTTATACCATTTCTCTCCTTTTCCTTCCTTTATTCCTATTCTCACCCTTACCCTCATCTGACTCCCCTTTCCTATTGTTCTCACTTTGTTTTTCCTTTTCATCCATTTTCTATCCAACTTGTTCTTCTCTTTCCCTTCTCCTCATTCCCTTTTTCTTTTTCTCCGCCCCCTCTCTGTCTCTCTGTGTCTCTTTTTCTCCCTTCTCTAAATCTTACTTTTCATCCATTTTCTCTCTAACTCGTTTTTTGTTGTTCTCCTGTTTTTTACCCCCACCCCCTCCTCCGTCTGTCTCTGTCTCTCTTTCTCTGTCACTCTTGCTCTCCTGCTCTTTGTCTCTCTCCCTCTCTCCCCCTTTCTCTCATTCTTCTTACCCCAGGATATCATGGGAAATGTAGAGATGGTAGACTCGATGATATCGGGCGGTCAGCCTCCAGCAAACAGACCAAGCTCTGCCAGACCCAAGGGCAAGTAGACCCTAGCCCATACCAACCCCCGGACAAACTAAAGCTGCCATTTGATGTCATCTACATGCACAAGAGACCAAACTCCATTGATCAAGCATCTTTCAATTACTTACTGTTAACCATTGTATAGAGATACAGTTACTTTGATTGATTGATTGATTCAAATATATTCCATTTCATATCAATTGTTTGCACAATAAAGAACATAGTTGACAAAGTAAGTTAAAACTTATGAAATGAAACAGGAAAGCATAGCTTGTTTTGTAGGTTCCCAAGAATAAATATAATATGAACTTTCTGTGGTTTTGTGATCAAGTTCAAAATTGATCAAGAGAGTTTCTTTTCAGTTTGATTTCATGTTATGCAAAGCTAATGTATCTGCCTTAATAAACAAGATCAAATCATTATGAGAAAGAGATATTTGTATGCAGTCTACGGATTCACTTGCGAATTAAGCTCTTTGGTACTTGGAAATACGAACAAAGAGCTTCTATATATATATATATATATATATATATATATCATAGCAAATTACACAGATTTAATTTCTAAATGTGCTCTTCAGTACTTGGTAATATGCAAAACTAGTATCTGTGCCTATATAAACAAGATCAAATCATTATCAAAGAGTGGAGGAATTCTTCAGCAGTTTACTGGTTCAATCTCAAGTGTGCTTTAGAGTACTCGGTCATAGAGATATTCATGTAATGATAGCTTATTATATTTACATTATATTTCGATATGACTGCATTATATATGTGTTCAAATGAAAGTAAGATACCATCCACCAAATGGAGTGTGATAATCCGTCCGAGCAATCAATGACTTATAAATAGATGAATTTTATCAAAAATGCTGCTTAGATATTATGGAAAAGAACAAAGAATATGGAATCCTGGATTTCTATTAAATGGGATTGATATACCCACAACAATTATTAGAAGGAAAGAGAAGGAGAAATGTCATTCATTATGGGTGTGTGTTCTGCAAATATTATTCTTGATGATCAGACAACTTTTGTGTCTATTAAAACCCACATTTTTATATTTTTGGGGGTGTAATTACAAAAGGTGATTTGATAACAAAAGTAGCTGTGTGCAACATAGGTACTATGTGTACTTGGTTATAAGCTGCAGTGGGGTACAGCTGCATATGTGAATTAATCTTCATGGTGTTTTCCTTTGCGGTCTAACGTTATTAAGATTACTATAGAGAGGTGGTGCAGAAGTGATTGTATTTAAAATGAGTTACTTGCACAACTCGACTGGAATTCACACATACAAATGTGTAGCCATGGTATCACCAAAGTATGATATTAAAGCCAACATGTACGTACACGTAGAGTCTTAGGGAAAGAAAGTGTGCTGTACAAGACTTTTCTAAGTATCAGTGCTACATTGCCAGTGATGTTATTTATCCAAGTAACAATGAACTTTGCATTTAGATCTTTCAGATTCAGGAAAATTGATTTTAAGTTCTTGTAAGGCTCTTTCAGATATGACATGGTAAATCTCTGCTAAAAAAATGCGCTTTTAACTGCGTTCAACAAAGGACTTGTTCATATTCACTGAGCTCTGTGTTATAAGATACAGAATTATGAAGTGTACTACACTTTATGTCATTAAATATTGCTGAGGTTTTGCTGCGTAATGTCTGAACAAGCCTTTAGACTTTCAAAGTGGCATGCGAAGTAGTATTTCTGTATAATGCGGATATTAAGAAGTTTGGTTGTGCTGCCATAATAATGACAAGTGCATTTCCGTTTTGCATGCATCAATGAAATTAGATGAATTCCTTTCTAATAATGCATTGGGTATTTATGCAGAAGAACTTTATAGAATTTTATTTCATGACAAACCTTGCACTTACACACCGGCTATAAATTCATTTGCTAAACAAAATATTATTCTCTGGACCAAATTCAAATGCCAAATAATTAGATCAAAATATATAAATATTTAATTCTCTCAGTCTTTCAAATGGAAGCAATGAATTTAAGCATTATATCTTCTCTATGCATATTCGCCCGGCATATTTGTTTACAAATTTTTCTCACCTTGATTGAAAAGTATGATTTTTGTAATGTTATTTTAAGTTGGATAATGTCATAAGACATAAATAAGAATGAGTTTAACCCAATTATTTTTTGTGAAAATAATGTAAAGATGTATATTATGAGTTATGAAAAATTCACTATTTTGTTTTATTAAAAAAAAGAGAAAGATTATTGAGAGATGTTATTATATGATCAAAATAATGTATTTGTTTTTATTCCTCAAAATGTCAAATGACCACAACCAACCACGGTTCCAGAGTAAAGTGGATGCAATGACATTTATTGCAATTTCTTATTTGTTTTTCAGAGTATCCGAACAATGAAGTAACCGGTAAGCTCATTATTGTGCTATTTGCAAAGCGAATTCCATCCATCATCAAAGCTCTTCAACTTATTCATAAATGACGATGTTATATGCATTATTGTATAATTGTGTAAAAATTGCAGAAGGAATTGTACGTAGTGGTCGGATGTGTATATTGATTTTATTTAATCAGATTCAATCTTATGGGGAAGATGTGTATATTTTGGTAAATTTTGTGAATTTTTAAACATAATTTTGTTCTGTTGTCTTTCTATGTTTGGTTCTCTTTTTCATGATCATTTGTGGAGGTTAATTTATAAATGTTTAATATCTGTCTGAATGTCTGAAAGGTCTGTGTTCTAAACACTGCAAGTAGTTAGCAATAGCATACAACTGTATACATGTACAAGAAGGAAACTAATTGCTGTAAATCTAAACTGTGTCTCTAATTTTGGTACAATGGGTAGTTTAAATATGAAGAACAAGGAGTGGAATAAGATTATTCAGCTGTCCGTATTGCCATGATTTTTATAGGCCTACATTATATTTCCAGTGAACTAAAAAAGCTATAACCTCAAAATGCAGTATATTATATGCATTGTATTTTTGTTTGTACCCCTAGCAGGGGTAAGCAGTAATGATGCACTCCAATTTTTGTAATTACTGTTATGTCAAATATTTTTAGTGTACTACGTTCTTCTTGACCTACTCAGAATCCGAGCCATTTTATTCACCATTACAAATTATCTGTGCATGTGGGAGGAATATGCCTTGCATGGCTTCAATTCACCTCGTTCCACATTAGGAGAAAAACAATTCCGTCCACGTATCCTTGGCCATCACTTTATGGCTTCAGTTGACCTTATTTAACCTTTGGATTTCTCATTTCCGTTCGATTTGACTGCTTTTGGCAGGAATCTATAGCCTGTTTTAGTTGAATTATACACATACATGGATGCTGTTTTAGTAATTGTGAATTAAATCATTCTGTCGGCTGTGAATAGGCTAGTATGCGTATGTCTAAAATCAATTTTTAATTGGCTAATGTTGAATTGTATTCATATGGATAATATAAGGGAAGTCCAGAAGAAAGAGAGAGAATATAGACAGCTCCTAGAATGTTAGAAGTTAGCCATAACTTCAATAGTTTATTATGGTAGGAGGTATGTGTCTGCTTGTCTGTCTCTTTGTATGGTAAAAAGCAAAAGACAGAAACAGTCTGTGACTCTGTTTATTAACTTGGTAGGCACAGACCTATTATAAGTACTGTTTTTAATTATCTAGCATCACCTGTGCCTGGAAGGGGAAAAGCAAACTATGACCCTTGGGTCTCTCTTTTCGGTGTGACCGAGTTAGATTTGATTTATCTCTTTAGGTGTTCTACTGTACAGGGCTTTCCCCCTACTCTTTATGAGTACGTAGCTGGTTGGCCTGAGTCAAAAAATCGCAAGCAGTGGACCATCGAAAGCACAAGGACACACAATTTCCAATCTAGGGACTGTTAAGCCTTGACTACCTCTACTGATTAAAGAAACAGACTAGGTAAAATGGTCAAATTTGACGGAACGCCAAGAATACATTAAACAACAACGATAACTCTTAATGAGCGCTGTGTGGTCCTTAACCCTGTTACATGTGATCATCTTACACATGGGACCTCTATTTAACATTCTGTTCCAAGGAAACATTTTGGAAATTATGTGTACTTATAATCATCTAGTACTGGTATATCTTCATTCCAATTCTATGTGTGTTTTATTGTACGTGTAGTTTGTAGAAAAATAGCACAAGATAGATGTCTTTCAGTCAAATAATCATTTGATGTCCGTCAAAACAGAAATTTATACAAATGGCAGGAATTTGAATAATGTACTATATGTGCTAGAATATGTTACAAAGTCGGCCTTATATAAAGGGAAAAAATATATGAAATACAGATTATGTGCCTCATGAAATGATGAAAAAGGTTTATTTGTTTAGATATATATGTATGGTCAGTGTTCATTCATATCGTATGTTTAGATAAAGTGGTACTTTGTTGAATATTATAGAACAAACGTAAGTGAGATGTTACTGAGATATTTACATGGACGAATTATTATCAATGTATGATGTGATTCCATAATAGATATTACAATACTGGTTATTGGGCTGTAATCTTTCCAAAACGCAAATATTATAAATATATGGACTATGGCCTTGATCAAAGATGTACTAAAAAAAGAACAATTTCATGTTTGTGTTACCGTCCAATGATAATAAAGAACATTATTCTATTCACTTCAATGGTTTTTGCTTTTGTGAATAACCTGTTTTTGTGAGAGCATATAATGTATTAGAGAATAATGTGTTGTGGAATTTAGAAAGTTTCTTACTCTCTGCAGAGGTGACTCTTATGTATTTGTAAGAATGTTTGTTAAGTGTTAATTGTGGCCAATGAACAAGTTTATGTTCATGTATGTGACTTTATTATACATTGTACATGTAGATGATTTAGTTTAGTAAATGAAGGGAGAGGAACGAGAGAGTAAGAGATAGATATATGGAAGAGGTAGAGATAGAGATGAAGAGAAAACGGGAGAGATTTTGAAGGACATGGGGGATGAAGATAGATAGGCGATGGAAAGAGGCAAACAGATGGAGATGCAAGAAAGAGAAAGGAGGAGAGGGGTTAGGTGAAAGAATGGGAGTTGCTGAGTTAAAGAAATATGGAAGAGAGATAGAGAGGGGAATGAGATAAATAGAGAGGGAGAGAAAGAGACAAGGGGGATTATAGAGTAAGAAAGATATAGGAGAGAGATGAATAGGACAAAATTACAGAAAGAAAAGGCTTAGAGTGAGAG